ATTTTCTTCGTTACTTGTATGTTGGCCGCACTTGGTTTTCTGATACAGTCGCTTCTAAATCTGGAGCAGTTGCCACTAAATGTGTGGCTACCAAAATCAGCCAGAGAGAACCCAGTGTATTTTCACTTCGTTCGATTTTTGATTCATTTCGGTAAGTGAAATATTTTTTTTGCAAGAAATTTACTGCTTTATTTTCAGTTATTTTCTACATTGGATTAGCATGTGGTACAATTGACCCTTTAATTGCGGGATTGTGTCATCAAGCGACAGCTCAGATTCAAATTCTCAAAGAAAATTTGCAGTGTCTCGGCAGAGATGTCAAATTTTCTTCGACTAGAAAGACGTTAATTAGTTCTGAGAAAATTTTTCAAAGAATCAAAAAATGCGTTCAACATCACGAAGTAATCCTCAAGTATTATTATTTACTAACAGTATTATTTCCATGATAATTTTATTTTTTAGTTTTGTACACGAATACCAACACTGTTTTTCCTTCATCATGTTTTGTCAGTTGGCAGGGAGCAGTCTTGTGATTGGACTGACTTGCTTTCAAATGAGCAGGGTTTGTAAAGTTTTCAAGCTTAAATCCGGTTTGTGTAAAACCTTTCTTTCAGATGAAGGGTGGCGTTGGTTTTATATTACTGGTGAATGACTTAGGGGCGTTATTTTTTCAAATATTTTATTACTGTTACTACGGAACGCTGCTTATTGAAGAGGTTGGAAACGACGATATTAGAAAAAATAATGCAACATTTTTTGTAGAGTGATGGTCTGTCGAGTGCGATTTACTTGAGTAGTTGGTACGAATGTGATATTCAGTGTCAAAAAGCACTTTCTGTTTTGATGGAACATTCGAAGCAACCGATTGTGGTAACTGCGGGAAAATTATTTCCTTTGTCTCTTGATACATTTACTACGGTAGGTGTATAATTAAATTATCTTGGCAATGTTAATTTAATACTGTTTTAGATTTTAAAAAGGGCTTACTCTCTTTTAGCAGTGTTGAATAATTATTAAATAAGTGATATATTTAGACAGACTTTTTAACTTCATAATTTTTTTTTTATAATTATACCACTTATTTTTGATTTGCGAACTTTTAATGTAACATTTATAAAAAAGAATAGGAATTGGTAATTTAAGAGGAATTTTTCTAAACGTTAATTCTGCATCCAAAAATAGTTTTGTAATACATTTTTATCACTGTTTTTAAATTATTTTTAAGAAAATAAATTATTGCTTTTTATTGTTTTCTTTTATTTAGAATCGAAAAAAACCTGTCTGTGTTAATTGCGAAATAGTCAGCTGTTGTTCACTATTTTTTTTTTAGCTTCATATAATAAAGTTAAAGATGTACGTTGCTAAATGGGGTTTGACAATTGCTAGATTTGCTTAGCGAAATTTTAAAATGACGTAATAAAATTTCTGGTGGGAATGGACGGATAAACTTTGGTTAACGTCTTAATAGATAAGATAAGACCGATTTTCATTTTTAGATTTTAATTACTACTTGGTATATCAAATTTAATAAATAATTTTTGGGTTAGGTAGCCTTAAATTGCCAACTTTTCTTGTTTCCGAAAGTATTTATATATATTTTTTAATTTTAAAAGTACATACTTATAAAAAAAACTAGTTCTTATTTTCATTTTTTTCGTAAAAATTAGAAATAATTGACCCATTGTGGTGACCAAATGTGAATTAAAATTTCGCACTGGAAAAGAAAAACAACGGCGCGAAATCGCATTTGAATAATTTGTATTAAAAAAATTTTTTGGCTTTTCGTCCTTCGTCCTTCGTCCTTTATCATTCATCTTGTACAATCGTCCTTGATCCTTCGTCCTTGATCTTTCGTCTTTCGTCCTTTTCGTCCTTTTCGACCTTCGTCCTTTTCGATCTTCGTCCCTTCCGTCCTTTTCGTCCTTTTCATCCTTTGTCTTCTGTTCTTCGACCTTCGTCCTTCGTTCTTATCGTCCTTTTCATCCTTCGTCATTTTCGTTCTACGTCCTTCGTCTTTCGTTCTTCGTCCTTTTCAGCCTTTGTCCTTCGTCCTTTTCCTCTTTCGTCCTTTACCCTTTTCGTTGTTCGTGTTTCATCCTTCTTAATTTTCATTTTTAGTCCTTCGTCCTGCGTCCTTCGTCCTTTCCGTCCTCGTCGTTCTTTTCGTCCTTCGTCCTTTTCGTCCTTCGTCCTTTTCGTCCTTCGTCCTTTTCTTCCTTCATCCTTTTCGTCCTTCGTCGTTTTCGTCCTTTTGGTCCTTCGTCCTTTTCGTCCTTCGTCTTTCGTCTTTCGTCCTTACCGTAGTTCCTCCTTTTCGTCCGTTTCGACCTTCGTCCTTTTCAACCTTCGTCCTTTTTGTTCTTTGTCCTTCATCCTTTTCGTCCTACGTCCTTTTAGTCTTTCGTCCCTCGTCCTTTGTCCTTTTTGTCCTTGGTCCTTCGTCCTTCGTCCTTTTCGTCCTTCGTCCTTCTCGTCCTTTTCGCCCTTCGTCCTTCGTGTTTCATCCTCTTCTTAATTTTCATTTTTCGTCCTTCGTCCTTCGTCTTTTCGTCCTTCGTCCTTTTCGTCCCCCGTCCTTTGTCCTTCGTCTTTCGTCTTTTTCGTCCTTCGTGCTTTTCGTCTTTCGTCTTTCGTCCTTTTCCTCCTTTTCATCCTTCGTCCTTTTCGTCCTTCGTCCTTCGTTTTTCGTTCTCTTCTTCCTTTTCGTTTTTCTTCCCTCGTCCTTAGTCCTTCTTCCTTCAACCTTCGTCCTTCTTGTCCTTTTCGTCCTTCGTTTTTCGTCCTCGGTCCTTCGTCCTTCGTCCATCGTCCTCCGTCCTTCGTCCCTCGTCCTCCGTCCTTCGTCCCTCGTCCTCCGTCCTTCGTCCCTCGTCCTCCGTCCTTCGTCCTTCGTCCATCGTCCTTCGTCTTTCGTCCTTTTCGTCCTTCGTCCTTTACGTCCTTCGTTCTTTTCATCCTTCTTGTCCTTTTCGTCCTTCATCCTTTTCGTCCTTTTTGTCCTACGTCCTTCGTCCTTCGTCCTTTTCGTCTTTCATATTTCGTCCTTTTCGTCCTTAGTCTTTTTCGTCCTTCGTAATTTTCGTCCTTTTCGTCCCTCGTCTTCCGTTCTTCGTCCTTCGTCCTTCGTTCTTTTCGTCCTTTTCATCCTTCGACCTCTTCGTCCTTTCGTCTTTCATCCTTTTCGTGCTTCGTTCTTTGCGACCTTCGTCCTTCGTTCTATAGATGGACATAGGGGAGTATGGGTACGTATAGACGGTTGTACAAGAATATAGAAGAATATGTGGACGAATGTAGAAAAGTATATATATAGAAGGATATACAAAAATCTAGACCGATATAGAAGGATGTACAAAACATGACAGAGTATGGACGATTATGGAAAAATATAGATGGATATGGTAGAATATAGACCGATATAAAAGAATATATGTAGACGGATATATTTCCACATTTTACCGTTAGTAAATTCAAGAAATTCGTTACGAAATTCTTGAAATTATACTTTTCAAGTTTTCTTGTGTTTTATAGCGTTTCTGGCACCCAATGTGACCGATGATACCAAAGAAAGTTTCAAAGTTTAGACAGAAGTCTCATTTTTGCCAAGTTTTATGAGTTTAGAAGTATATGTCTACTTTTTTAACGATTCTTATAGTCATGACGCACTTATAAACAACTTAAGAATAATATAAATATGTAGATTGATATAGAAAAACATAGACGGATACAGAAGTGCTTTGTAAAGAAGAACACATACTTGCTTCACTGAAAACCTTCTACACGGTAAGACAGAGTGACCGGATAAGTAATTAAATTAAAAAAAAATAATTTGTATTAGTAAATTAATTAGTGAAGATTTCAATTACCGATGATATCTGTCGAATTATTTCTGAAAACATAAAAATACATATTTTGACTTTCAAAATTATACACCGTGAACAAAATATGCTTAAAATTGGACAGAAATCCGCTCGTAGACGTCAAACATATGAATCTAGGACGGTAAATCTCTAAATTAATTGTACAGCTGAAATACTATGCGAAGAACACGTTGACTCACCACAGTGTCACTTACGCGTGATTAATGATGTATCGCTTGTGATTTGAAATGGGAGCAATCTAAAACAGATTTTGGATTTTTCAGAACTGTTCTTTAAATGTGGAAAAACTGAATTACGAAAAACGAATTTTCTTAGCAAAATAAAAATAGAAAATTTGCAGAATGAATTTTTAATTTTTTTACTGGTCCTATTTTTGAATTGTTTATTTCATTGAAATTAATCAGTTCTAAAATTCTTTAACAATCTTAATATGTCTGACAAGATCTAGCTAATCGTCAGTTCTGAAATAATAGCCAGTGTAACTCAGTTATGTTTACGTAAAATATTGATGACATGGTTGAGAATCTAGGTCGAAACACAGATTTAAGTTGTGAATTAGATTTAATTTATTAAAAAGTGCTCACTTACACTAATTACCATAGGTGTGAAATAATTTCAATCAGAAGACGTACGAAAACATAAAATTTAAAACACGTTACGTGACATTCCCTGAGTGTTTAGAACAAACTGCACAAAACAGATTTCAACAACAATTGATTTTATTCAATTATTCACCAATTCACTCGCATGTACTCGTATTCTCGAACACCACATCAGCTTTGCTTTAACAGCACACTGAAATTACTAAACATAAAAAAAGCAACTACTAATTAAGCCCTCTGTAACTAAAAACAGCCCACAGTTGCATGTTTAATTCTTACCTTTGCGGCTTTGATGCTATTACATACCAGCACAGAAACCGCCTGAAAATTTTATTAGCATCCATTGAAGTCTTTTTTTAATTGAAAGTCAGTCGATTCGACTCGAATCACGTTCGTGTTTTTAGAGACTTTGATGTAAAATTAATGTAATTGAGGGGAACGCAGTTGAATTAAAAAAAAATTCAATGAGCGAGTTATATAAGGTACGTGCTTGCAACCAGTCATTTAGTTCCCAGTGAAAATGGAAAAAGTGGCGGCGTATAGTTTCAGTCTTAACATACGTGTGATGAAAGTCATCGGACTTTATCCATCCAATAGTCATCAGAGTTTACATAAAATCTACGCTCACGTTATTTATATTTTAGCGATGATTCCGGCGACGACTTTGGGTTTGCTGCACTTCGTGTTTACTGAAGATATTACCAATTTTACTTACAACGACTTTATAATGGTTGCTATGGTGTTCTACACGTTCAAATTTCTCCCGTTTGTGAAAAATAGTGCTCAGATTAAAAACTGTATTCACTACTTCGACGATCCGTTCTACACCGTGGTTCAAGAAAAACACAGAGAAATTGTCGAAGAATGTGTGGATGTTTGTCGCAGGAACTCCAAAGTTTTTTTTGTGGGGTGTATTGCGGGTTTGACCGGATTTATTGGACAAGCTGTCTTGAATCTGGAGCAGTTGCCACTGAATGTCTGGATACCCAAATTTGTGAAAGAGAGAGCCCTTTGTTACCATATTGTACATTTTCTGGTTATGTTGGGTAAGAACAATTTTTAAATTTTAGGTGGAAATTACTTTTAAACTTTATTTTCAGGTGCCGTATATGCAGTCCTGGCATGTGGCACAATTGACCCTTTAATAGGTGGATTGGTCCATCAAGCTGCTGCCCAAGTCCAAGTTCTGAAAGAAAATTTACAACATCTGGATGCTCAAGTCCACAACGAATCCGTTAAATATGAAGCAGTTTATTTTCAGCTGAAAAACTGTGTTCAGCGTCATCAAAAAATTCTCAAGTAACGTATACATGTATTTATAATTATGTAAAATTTTTAATTTTAGTCAATTTTTCGTTTAGTTTTGTCAAAGAATACCAGGAGTGTTTTTCGCCTGTGGTGTTTAGTCAGTTTGCAGGAAGTAGTCTGGTAATCGGTCTTCTGTGTTTCCAAATTAGCAAGGTATTAATTTTTGTATTTTTGTGCTTATTTGTAGCAATAATTGGTGTTTCAGTTGTTAACTATCGATGTTACTGCCCTCATTATGATGAACTATCTTAGTGTGTTGTTCTTTCAAATATTTTTTTACTGTTACTACGGAACGCTGCTCATTGAGGAGGTGGTTTTCAATTAAAGGTAACATATGTGTGTTAAGTTTAATTATTTTTAGAGTAAGACTTTACCGAATGCTGTTTATATGAGTAAATGGTACGAGTGCAGCATCGGTGCCCAAAAAGCTCTAGGTATTTTGATGGAGAGGTCCCAGAAACCCATGGTTGTGACTGCTGGAAAATTATTCGACTTGTCTCTTGTAACATTCACAACGGTATAGTCCAACTAAAAATATTCTTGTAGTTAGTAGTTTATTATTTCTTTTTTTAGATTTTACGACGAGCGTATTCATTGTTGGCTGTTTTAAAGAACTATTAGTCCAAGTGTAGTATATAATAGAAGCAAAAATGGGTATTTATTGTAAAATAGTTTAGACTATTTTAAATGTCACAATAAAAATGTAAAGTTGCAAGTATATCAACAACAATTTGTATTCTCTTTAAATATTGCCGTCTAAATTTTGTAAATTTTTTTTGTTGGGAATGTACTGTGCCTGTGATAAACAAACGGTAGTTAAGTAAGATGTTTGTTTTTTTTTTTAATTTATTATTATATCATTTATTACTAAAAACTTTTTTTAAATTATTAAAAAAAAAAAAAGAAAACGGTGTTTTGAAAACATCAACAATATGGTCTTTTTTTTGGATCACAATCTAGGACAAAAATACAACTCAAATGCGCCATTTTTATCTAATAAATAAATAAAATAAATTGGTTCATTAAATAAATTTTAAGTCGGTCATTCGGTTCAAGTAAGTTATAAATTTTTGTAAAGGATAAACCAATATTCTTAAAGCCTATGCAAAATTTCAAAATAGTAAAATTTTGTCACAAAAATTTGATTTTTTCCAAAAACTTACGAAAACTAGGTTGAAATTTAAACCAGACAACAGGCAGACGAAAACGGGAAATCTATTGTTTCATATACCATATCATCAAAGAAAAGGTCCTTAAAGAATCTTGCGTCTTTATTTTGATCTCGGCGACCACGGGTGTTTTGATTTTCAAACAGTTTAAAAGAATCTAGGAGACTCCTATTGTTTTGTCTTCGAAAAAGTTTAAAAAAATCTTGGCTCTATATTTTGAAAAAAATTAAAGGTTCTCAAAGGCCTCTAGTATTTGATTTTGAAAATATCTGAAAGATTGTAGGAAATCCATGGTATATATTTTGTTTTTGAAAAAAATTTAAATAATATCTGGGGCATCTGGTGTTTTAATTTTGCAAATGTCTGAGAGAATCTGGGGGATCCCAGGCGTTTTAATTTTGACAAAGTTTGAAAAAATTTCGAGAAGCCTAGTGTTTTGATTTTAAAAAAGTTTAAAAGAGGCTCGGGGACTCCTGACGTCTAGGTTTGAAAGGATTTTAAAGATTCTCGGAAGCCTCTTGAGTTTTAATCTTGACAAAGTTTGAAAAAATGGCGGGAATCCTTGCTGTTTTGCTTTCGAAAAATTTTTAAAGAATCTCTGGGGAGTTTGATATTTTGATTTTGAAAAAGTTTGAAAGAATCTCCAGAAATGTTGGTGTTTTAATTTTGAATAAGTTTGAAAGAATTTCGGGAACTTCTGGTGTTTTAATTTTGAAAAAGTTTAAAAGAATCTCGGGGACTCCTGGCGTCTAGGTCTGGTGTTTTGGTTTTGAAAATGTGTGAAAAAAATCGGGAATCCCGAGTATTTTGATTTTGAAAATGTCTGAAAGAATGTTGGGGATCTTTGGTATCTTGTTTTTGAAATTATTTTAAAGAATATCTGGGGACTCTGATGTTTTCATTTTGACAAAGATGTTGAAAGAATCTCAGAAAATCTTGGAGCTTTAATTTTGAATAATTTCAAAGAATCTGGTAAACCCGTGGTGTTTTAATTTTGAAAAAGTTTAAAAAAGTCTCTTAACATTTTTTTAAGATTCTCCGGGACGTTTGGTGTTTTGGTTTCGAAGATGTCTGAAAGAATCGGGCATCCCGGGTGTTTTGATTTTGAAATATTTTGCAAAAATGTCGAAGATCCCTGGTGTATTGTTTTTGAAAGGATTTTAATGAATTTCTCGAGCCCTTAACGTTTTGATTTTGACCAAGTTTGAAAGAATCTCAAGAACTCTCAGTGTTTTGATTCTGAATAAGTTTGAATGAATCTTGGGAACTGTTGATGTTTTGATATTGGAAAAATTTTTAAAGAATGTCGAGGCCCCTTTTTCTTTTGTTCTAGGGACCCCGACATTTTAATTAATTTCTAAAGAGTTTGAAAGAATCTCGGGAACCCTTGGTGCTTTGATTTTGCATAAATTTGAAAAATCGCGCGAATCCGGTTGTTTTGATTTTGAAAAATTTTAAAAGAATCTCGGGACTCCTGGTGTCTAGTTTTTGAAAGAATTTAAAAAAATCTCGAGGACCCCTGGTGTTTTGATTTTGAAAAGGTTTTAAAGATTCTCGGGGGCTGTTGGCATTTTGATTTTGAAAATGTCTGGGGACCACGGGGGTTGTAATTTTGAAAAAGTTTAAAAAAATCTCAAAACTCTTGTGGTTTTGAGTCTGAAAAAGTTTGAAAGGATCTCTTGGACTCCTGGTATCTAGGTTTTGACAAATTGAAAGAATGTCTGGATCTGTGGTGTCTTGCTTTTGAAAGAATTTTAAAGAATGTCTGTGGATTCTGATGCTTTGATATGGAATAAGTCTCAAATCGTCTTGAGGACCCCTGTTGTTTTGATTTTAAAAAGTTGCGCTGGTGTGTTGATTTTGAAGAAGTTTAAGGGAATCTGGAAGACCCTTGGTGTTTTGATTTTGAAAATTTTTAATTTTAAAGATTCTCAAGGGCCTCTAGTATTATGATTTTGAAAATAGCTAAAAAAATTTCGGGATCCTTCGTATCTTGCTTTTGAAATAATTTTAAAGAATATCTGGGGACTCTGATGTTTTCATTTTGACAAAGATGTTGAAAGAATTTCAGAATCTTGGAGCTTTAATTTTGAATAATTTCAAAGAATATGGTAAACCCGTGGTGTCTTGATTTTGCAAAAGTTAAAAAAACATCAGGGACTTTTGGCGTCTAGGGACCTCCTTTGTTTTAATTTTGAAAAAGTTTGAAACAATCATTGGTGTTTTGCTTTTGAAAGAATTTTAGGAAATGTTAGTGTTTTAATTTTAAATACGTTTGAAAGAATCTCGGGGATTCGTGCTCTTTTGATTTTGACAAGGTTTAAAAAAGTCTCGAGGACACTTGGAGTGTAGGCTTTTGGTGTTTTGGTTTCGAAAATGTCTGAAAAAATCGGGGATCCCGGGTGTTTCGATTTTCAAATATTTTGCAAAAATGTCGAAGATCCCTGGTATATTGTTTTTGAAAAGATTTTAATGAATATCTCGAGCCTTTAACGTTTTGATTTTGATCAAGTTTAAAAGAATCTTAGGAATCCCTCAGTGTTTTGATTCTGAATAAGTTTGAATGAATCTCGGGAACTCTTCGTGTTTTGATTTTGAAAAAATTTTAAAGAATTTCGAGGAACCTTTTTGTCTTGTTTCAAAGAATCTCATGAACCCTTGGTGTTTTGATTTTGAATAAGTTTGAAAGATTGCGAGACCCCTGTTGTTTTAATTTTGAAAAATTTAAAAATAACCTGGTGTCTAGTTTTTGAAAGCATAAAAAAAATCTCGAGGACCCCCGGTATTTTCATTTTGAAAAAGTTTAAAGATTCTCGGGAACTGTTGTATTTTGATTATAACAGTGTCTGAAAGAATTTCAGGGACCACAGGTGTTTTGATTTTCAAAAAATCTAGGAGACTCCTGTTTTGATGTCTAGTTTTTGAAGGAATTTTAAAGAATCTAGAGGACACCTGGTGTTTTGATTTTGAAGAAATTTTAAAAATTCTCGCGGATCTCTGGTATTTTGATTTTGAGAATGTCTGAAAGAATCTTGAGAAACACGGGCGTTTTGATTTTGAAAGAGTTTGAAAGAATCTCGAGAACTCCTGTTGTTAAGACTTTGAAAAAGTTTCAAGGATTCTCGGGGACCCGTGTACTCTATATTTTGAAAGGATTCTAAAGGTTCTCAAGGGCCTCAAGATTTTGATTTTGAAAATATTTGAAAGAATGTCAGAAATTCTTGGTATCTTGTTTTTGAAATAATTTTAAAGAGTATCTGGGGACTCTGATGATGATGGTTTAATTTTGACAAAGATTTTGAAAGAATCTGATGAAATAGAAAGGAAGGAGAGAATACGGAAGAATTCGAAAATAATTCGAAAGAATATGAGAGAACTCTAGAAAATTATTAAAAATTCGGGAGAATCCGTAGAAATCCTTGTGAATGCGAACGAATGCGAGAGGATATGAAAGAATCCCACCAAAATTTAAAAGGATTACCGAGAATCGGGAAAAATATGATAAGCCAAGGAAAAATCCGAGAGAATACGAAAGAATCCGAAAATAATTCGAAAGAATATGAGAGAGCTCTAGAAAATTCGAGAGGAGACGAAGAAATCCGTGTGAATCCGACAGAGTATGAGAGGATATAAAAGAATCCACAAAATTCCGAAAGGTTCACGGAGAATTTAGAAAAATACGATAGAATATCTGAGAATCCAAGAGAATACGGAAGAATCCGAAAATAATTCTAGAGAATCCAATATAATCCGAAAGAATATCGCAACGAACACAACACATTTCGAAAGAATATGAGAAAATTCGAGAGTATCAGAAGAAATCTGTATGAATCCGAAATAATACGAGAGTATATGAGAGAATCCCACAAAATTCGGAGAGGATCACAGAGAATCCGGAAAAATACGGGGATAAGGAAAAATCCAGGAAAAAATACCGCAGGATATGAGAAAATTCGGAAGAATCCGAAGAAATCCGTGTGAATCCAAATGAATCCGAAAGTATATGAGAAAATCACACAAAAATCCAAGAAGATCATAGAGATTCCGGAAAAATGCGAGAGAATACGGAAGAATCTGAAAGAATTCGGAACAGTCCAAAAGAATCCGAGAGAATGTGATGGAATCCGGAAGAATCTGATGGGATCCGAGAAAATCGAACAGAATCCGAAAAAATGAGACAAAATCCGACACAATCCAGAAGAATCCGATTGAAGTCGATACAAGCCGAGACAGATCAAAGAACTTAGGGAAACCCAGGAACATATATAACGGAAGGAACACACGGTATTAAAAAAAACACAAGTTTTAATTTTGAATAACTTTTAAAAAAACCTCGGAAACTCCTGATGTTTTGATTTTGAAAAATTAAAAAAAAAACATCCAGGGCTTTTGGAGAATTTTGAAAACTCTCGTGCGACTCCTGTGTTTTAATTTTGAAAAATTTTGAAAGAA